TTTTTTTTTTTTTTTGAGTTGGAGTCTCACTCTGTCGCCCAGACTGGAGTGCAGTGGCCGCTCCCGGCCACCGCAGCCTCGACCTGCTGGGCTCCGGCGATCCTTCCGCCTCAGCCTTCCAAGTGGCCGGAATTACAGGCATGCGCTACCACACCTGTCTGATTTTTTGATTTATTGTTGAGATGAGGTCTCGCTGCCCAGGCGAGTCTGCAACCCGCGGGCTCAGGCAATCCACTCACCTCAGCCTCCCAAAGGCGCAGGATTACAGGCTGAGCCACCGAGCCCGGCTAAAATTATTCTTAATCAATTTCTATTTAGCGCTCTCTTTCATGCATGTGCTCTCTCTCTCTCTGTCTCTGTCTCTCTCTTTTTCTCCCTTCTCCCTCTCCCTCTCTCCCTCCCTTCCTCTTCCTCTCTCCTTTTCTCCCTCTCTTCCTCTCTTCCACTCTCTTTCTCTCCCTCCCTCTCACTTCCTCATCACATGAGTGACTCTATTCTGGCTTCATCTCTTCTGCAGAGGCCTATGAATTTATCTAGTACATACAACCAATTTTTAAATGGGCAAAATATATCAATAGACACTTCATCACTGTGGACATATGCCTAGCAAATAAGCACATGAAAAATTATTCTACATCACATCTATTAGTTAAATGCAAACTAAGCCATGATAGATACCATAACATGTATTTCAGAATGACTAAGAATGTTTTAGGATTTGACTAAGTCCTAGAAATGATGAAAAAAATTTGAAATCTCATACATGGTTAATGGGAATTATGAAATGGTACAATCACCATGGAAAATGATTTGGTAATTTCTCATACACATATGGTATACATCATATGATTCAGCAGTCCCACTCCTAGGACAAATAAAAACTTCTATCCACACAAATGCCTACACATGAATGTTTATAGCAGCTCTAGTCATATTTGCCCCAATATGGAAATTGCCCAAATGTATTTCCATAGGTAAATTAAGAATAAAATTTTGGCGTACCCATATTAGGGAATTACTTGGCAATAAAAAAGAATTAAACATTGATATACACAACAACTTGTATCAAGCTGAACAGCTAGTCTTGACAGGTTGCATATTCTGTTAATTTATTTGTGTGACATTTCTTGAAAAGAGAAAATCGAAATGGTGGAGAAGAGACCAGTGGTTTCCAGGGTTAGGTGTGGAGGGGTGGGTGGAACTATAAATGAAAGCACTGGAGGGTTTTCTGGGGGAAGAGGTTGATGAAACTTTTTGTATCATGACTGTGGTGGTGATTCTATACATGGAATCTATACATGGGCTAAAACCCACAGAACTGGATGCTAAAAGACAAAAAGAAAGATATTACTGTTTGATAATTTAAAATATAAAATTAAAAAAGAAAGCTGAAGTCAGTACATCATATAAAGATTTTTGACCTTATGAGAAGAAAACTTACCATGAATAAATAGGGACATTATAAAAGAGCCAGTTACCAAAGATGACACAATAATCCTTACTGTTAATCCACCTAAAAGCAGAGCTTCAAAATACACAAAACGACTTTGGATAGAACTGAAAGAATAGATAAAGTCTAGAGTTATGTTTGGAGATGGCACCACTCCTCTGTGAATGATAGAAGAAGTAGACAGAAATTCTGCAATATTTTAGAAAGATTTGAATAGCACAATGAACCAGCTTGAGCTGATTGATTGTTATTGAACACTCCACAGAACAGCAGAATATACATGATTTTCAAGTGCATGTGGAATTTTTACCAAAATTGAACATAAGACAAGTCACTATAAACTGAAAATATCTGAAATTGCACAAACTATCTAACTAAACTAAAATATAATTAAAAGTATAACAAAGGAGAAATCTGCAAAGTCCCAAATATTTTAAAAGAAACAACACATATTTGCTAACCCATGTTTACAAAATTATTAAGAAAAATTGGAAAACATTTTCAAATGAATAAAATGGAAATAAAAAACTGAGCCACTAGACACTTTTATTAGAAACAAGAAAGGAGTCAAATAAAAAATATTAACTTTGATTCTAAATCATCAGAAAAAGAAAAGTAAATTAAACCTAAAGCAAGCAAAGGGATGGGGTAATATAGACAAGAAGATCAAAATTCATAAAAATGAATCTTCAGCAGAACAACTCGTGATATTGATGGAATGAAAAGTTAGTTCTCTCAGGAGACCTGTTTGCATTTTCATCTCCCAGCTTCAAGAAGAAGGTCATGAAATCCTCCTGCAAATATTGCAGTGATTGCAAAAACTTCTCTCTATCTTCAGGGCTGGATTCAAAGAACCAGGACATGAGGGGGCCAAATCGGACTCTACTCATAGCCCCATGGGAAAACAGTGAGTTGAGAACTCCCCGGGAGGGACAAACAGGTGTGTCGTCACAGTTCAGACTGAACTCTTCATGAAAGGGGTGTGCCGGTGGGACCGGGCCGAGGGTGAGCTGTGGGAGAGCCAGGGGGCTTCTGCAGGGGCTGGGAGTGCTCCATGTCACTGCAAAGGTAGTGGATTCTGTGCAGATTCCGGTGGACGAAGCAGGGAGAAGCAGGCAGCAGGCTAGGCTTCAGAGTCAGAAGGGAGGGCACAAGGGGGAGACCAGGGAAAGGGTGCCGTGACTCAGAAAGTGCTGGAGCCAGATAGAAAGGCTGGCATTGTACCGGCCCCCTGTGCCCAGGCAGGAGAGGAAGGCAAGGTGTGGGTGGGCACTTGACATCTCTCCCATGGCCTGTGGCACAGTCGGTACTAAAAAGAAAGCGGAAAGTTCTCCGAGAACCCCACACAAGCCACCCCCAGATGGTGCTGGATTCTCATTGTCACCTTCTGCGGGCCTGCTTTTAGTCCTGTGGCCTCAGGGTCCTGCTTTTTGTTGCCTGAGAGACAGATGTGCTGTTGAGAGGCGAAAGGAAGTCGAGTCAGGAGGTCGGGCCTGGGCTGGGAACGGTGGGGACACCCTGGGCGCTAGACGATTCAGACCGGGGTCTGGTCCCAGCTCTGTCACTCGCTAGCAGGTGATCCTGGGAGAAGCCCAAGCCCGGTGAGACTTGGGTTCTTCATTTGTGAAGCGGTTATGACAAGCTCTGTCCAGTAGGGCTGTTGGAGTGTGTGCCATGTAAGTGGCTCAGGGCATGGTCTCAGTCAGAACTTTCATGAATGGCAGATGGCTGATATATTTAATATTGTTGGACCCCGGACGCTATCACAGTTTAGTCTGGAATTGTTGCCATTGTTCTCCAGGACTCATCAGAGAACATACAGCTCAATAGGACATGAAACAATCACTTAGCCAAAAAAGGAACTTTTATCAATAATGTTCAGTAAATGTTCCCCTTTAGAGGATACACTTCAAAGATTAGGTGTGCGGGAATTTTCCCCAGCTGGATGCAGCTCATAGCACCAGGCGTTTGAGTCAAGGACCAACTCCTTCCCTTCCTCCTATCCGTTTTTCCAGTCATACCATGATTTTCATTCATTTTCCTTCCACTAAAAGTCTAGCCCTTGCTTAGAGATGTCCAACTTATACTAAAGGTAACCCAAACAAAATGTTCTGGAGTCTGCTATGGTTTTTTTCCCAGGCCAGGAAAAAGAGTGTCAGTCTAGAGGCTTCTGGGCCTCACTTCATGGGAGTCCCCCTTATCTTTGGAAACACTTGCAGATGACAGGTACCACTCCCCTAGTCCTTTTTTTTTTTTTTGAGTTGGAGTCTCACTCTGTCACCCAGACTGGAGTCTCACTCTGTTGTCCAGACTGGACTGCCCAGTGGCACGCTCCCAGCCACCGCAGCCTCAACCTGCTGGGCTCTGGTGATCCTTCCACCTCAGCCTTCCAAGTAGTTGGAACTACAGGTGCACGCTACCACACCCGGCTAATTTTTGATTTATTGTAGAGATGAGGTCTCGCCAAGTTGCCCGGGTGGATCTCAAACCCCCGGGTTCAGGCAATTCACTCACCTCGGCCTCCCAAAGCACAGGGATTACAGGCTGAGCCACCGAGCCTGGCCACTCACCTAGTTCTTGTGCTGTATTCAACCACACCAGGACACCAATGCAGGACACCTCCCACTCTTGCCCCCAGTGGAGGTTCCTCTTTGCTTCACCCACCATCCGGAAAGAACTTTTGAGAGCAGGTTTCCATTCCAGGCTCTTTTCTCTGCCCTAAGACTCACTATCTGAGAGTCTGACCCCCTGACCCCTACCACCACCCAGCTGCATTACAATCAGCTCCACAGAAGGCAATGAAGTTTCCCAAAGCCCCAAAGGGCCCTGGCTCAGGGCATGTAAACTTGACCGCTCTCTCCAAGAGCCCCACACCCTCACCCTCTCTTACTTTTCCTCTAGGTCTTAGAGGACATCTTACCTCCTTCATTCAATGACTGTAGCTCCTAGACTCTATCACCATGTGAGTAGAGGTGAGTCTGGCTTATCCTAGTATCTCCACTTACACAGGGCCTTCCAAAGAGCAGTTAGTTGCTCAATGAATCGTTGGGGAAAGAAATGACCAGTAAACAGAGACCTTTATTTATTCAGATTTAATTTCTCATACATTCTGAAATAATCCAAGTCATTCCAGATACACATGCACATTGAAATTTTCCAGAACAACAGATGAAAAGGGATAAGCAACCAAGAAATAATAGTTTTTACATTTTATTTCTCTATTTTATGACCCCATCAATTTTACTGCTAACTTGTTTCGTTTTTTGAAAGAAATGCCCATTCTGAAGCCATGATATCATGTTCCAAATCACAAAACAAAATGTTTCCCACTATGTTTTACAAAATAAAAAACTCTTACTCTTGAAACAGGTAAGCAAAAATACAAGTGCCATCATTCCTAAACTTAGATGCTGAAGCTAAGTCTTCTACTAAAATGAACAATATTTGACAATTACAAAAGGAAACAAAGATACATCTCCAAGTTATCCAATAGAACAAGAACCACAAAACGATGTACACTATCCTTCCCTCTACCCACTGTGGCCCTCCATTACTCAGAATGCTGACTGCTCTCTTCAAACACAGAGTGGAGAATAGGACTCTTGTCATATGGGGCAGAAGAAGCTGCTGAACGTGGCCCTGATCCTGCCACTAGCTCTGGGTGCAACTCCTGCTCAGACTCCCTCTCTCTTTTCTCTCTAAGAGCCTCCTCATACAGGGATGGGTAGCAAGTAGCATCTCTGCCACTGACCTTGGCCACATGCTCCAGGACCTTCATTTTGCTGGTTTCAGCATGGGCCCTGGGACCCCACAGGAACTCGTAGCATGCGGGATCGCTGCCGGGCACCTGCCGGTACTCCAAGTACTCTTCCTGCACCCAATCCTGGGTGAGGAGCTTCCTGGGCTCCCCATACAAGCAGTGCTCCCTCCCTGGACACACCCCTAGCACTCTCAGCGCTTCCCAAATGGTCTCTTCAGGGACGCAGTTGCCCTCCATGAAGATCATGCCCAGGACGGTGATCAGGAGGCCGGCCGTGGGCTTGCTGTGGTCATCCAGCACGCCATTGTAGGAGAGGTCCAGGGAGCTGACGAAGACATATGAGTGCTCGGTGGGGTCCTCTTCCTTCACATCAATGCCAAACACCAGCTGCATGCACTCGGAGGCTTCGCTGAAGATGGCCGAGAAGTGCTCCTCGTCATTCTTGATGACAGCACTCAGCATCTCTGCCTTTGTGAGCGGCTCCTTGTTTCGGTACTTGTGGAGCAGGAAATAGACCAGATGAACCATCTTCTTATCTAGGGCCTCTTGGAGCAAGAACTCAGGGTCGGCCGGGTCAGGCTCCTCCTCTTCTTCGCTGCTAGAGCCCTCATCAGATTGGCTACACAGAATGGAAGCGATGGTAGTGAGAAAGGAGAGGACTTTCTGAGGATTCTGGGGAGGATCCGGGGACCCAGCAGCAAGCACCTCCTCCATGGTACCCGGGATCAGAGCAGGAGAGGCAGAGAGGGAGGCGGTGGCAGCCTCCTCAACCTCAGCTGCAGGAGCCTGCACAGCCACTGGGCCCGGTGCCTCTCCTTGGGCCTGAAGGTCTTCCTCAAGCTCGCAGTGCTGACTCCTCTCCCCACGACTCATGATGGAGAGCATGTGGCAGGAGTGTGGGCAGGAGCTGGGTGGTGAGAGAAAGCATATGAGAGGCCTTAAGTGAGAAGCTCACTCTGGAGTTTCTCATAACGGCCGAATTGCAGGCTTTCTCCTTAGGTGCTGCAGCCAGCTGGCAGAGCTGAAACTGTGGGACTGACAGTAGGGGTGGCAGGGCTGGGAGCTGTGGGGCCCCTTGTGTTCTGGGGTCGGTGGGGCCCTTGGTACACATTTAGGGTGAGCACCTCACCTTCACTTCTGGCACTGCCTGGGCCTTCTCTGCTCTCTGACCCAAGGGCACTGTCTCAGCCCAAGGCTTCACCTCCCGGTTAATGGAGCTCCTGGAAGAAGAATCATGGGGCCCTCTGGCTGCACACCATAAACACAACTCAGCGCCCCGCAGTGCCGTTGGGAGGGTGCGCCAGACTCTGTGAGGTCCCCACTTTTCTGGATGATCCCCTCCATGCTCACTCAGGCCCACAGCGATTCCCTGGCAATGCCTCAACCCACCCCTCTGCTGGTTGGAAGAACACTCAGAACAAGAGTGCGCATCCTGGTAGGGAACAGAAGGCAGCGAGGGGCTCCACATCTGGCCACAGCTGCCCAGGGCCTCCTGGGAAAGATAGCCAGAGGTGGCCGATTCAGATGGGCCCAAGTGTTTGGGGTGAGGAGTCTGTGCAGTCCTCCCCTTGATGCCTGGCAGGGCCTGGGATTGTCCCTTGTTGACCTGAGGCCACCTCTTTAAACTAAGGTCCTATCTCCAGGAGACACTACAGGACAAAGAGAGGGAAGCCCATCCACCCGCCAGTCCCTGCACCTTGTGACTTCCCGTGGCTGAAAGAAGGGACAGGGCAGGGCTGCATCCCGTTCATTCAGTGAGTGAGTACGGGCCCATCAGTTCTCACCATGATTCATGGCAGGGCCTGGGCCCCTCCCTCTGCGGAAATGAGTGCAGCCCCCAAAGACCAAGGACTCCACCACCATGAGACCAGAGGTGCAGGTATGAGAGGAGGCCCGAGCCTGAAGGCCCTGCCCAGACTCTTGAGAGCCAACAACGGGGGCAGGGCAGATTTAATCGGGCTCTGGTGTGTGTTCTGGGCAGAGGGTTAACTCCAATCCTCCTTCAGAGTCCTCAGCTAGACTCTTGGCTGATCCAACTGGGTCTATTGACCCGATGGGGGTCCCTGGGAAGACCTAAGGTTGCCCTCTCAGATTGAGTTCCTCACCCCTGAGATCCTTGAAACAGAAGTGAGGAGATGCCACACCCTGCCACCCCTGCATGGGGTCTCCAGGGCTGACACCAGGGCCTTGCCCCATCTGTTCTGGGAAGGGGATTCTAAAGCCCTCCTGCGGGTCATTGACCATAACCCCTGCCGGGCCAGCCCTTCCTCACCCCCCTGAGATGAGCAGATATCTCCTCTTTAGACCAAGACCCTCTCTCCTGGAGGATTCCCCAACTTCCTTCCTGTGGTACAAGTAAGCTCGACACCTAAGGCCACACCTGATTGAGTGCCACCAGAGCTGTGAACTGGGGCCAGCCAGAATCTGTGGGATGCCTTCCTTCTGGACTGGGGCTACCTCCAGTCTTCATGAAGGGTGCACAGCTTGGGTCCTGGAAGATCCTGGAACTCCTCCCTCTGCTGATCAGGTGTGGCTCCTTTGCTGACTTCTTGTGGCCCCTCAGATCAATGTCCTGACCTCCCTGAGACCTCCTACCCCTAACCACAAGACAGATTGAGAACATGCCACAAGCAAAGCCAGCCTGAAATCACCCAGGGCTGAGAACAGGGAAAGCTGAGCTCTGAGAAGTCCTTCTTCTTTGGTTGTGGGGTACCTTATTAACCTTAGACCTCACGAACCTTCTATTCTTGACTCCTGGCAGACCCTGGATTCATCCCTCTGCTTACCTGTGCTCACCTCAAACCAAAGCCTCCACCTATGGACTGGAGGGTGCACCATGTGGACACCACTGTGGAGTTTCCCAAAGGTGACAGAAGGGACAGGTTTCAGGGGGCCTCTTCTGTCTGGGGTATCTTCCAGGCATTCATATTTACTCCCAGTAGGGTCTGAGCCCTCTCCCTCCTGCTGAACTGCAGATACATCTTGCAGCACAAGGCCCCACCTCCCCAAGTCCCCCGAGGTGGAAGAGAGAGTGTGTGTGTGTGTGTGTGTGTGTGTGTGTGTGTGTAGGGGGACGCATTTGTTTTCCAGTCCTGCTTGGGGCCTCCCAGAGGTAGCAGCAGGGGCAGGCTACCCACGTTAGTGATGAGAAATCTGATGAGTCCTAATCAAGGCTCTGGTAGCCTCATTCTGGTGACCTGAGACCCTACTCCTCAGACCACAGCCCTTCCCTCCCTGTCACCCCAAAGCTGAATGAGGGATTCCTATATCTGGCCACCCTGCCGAGGGCCTCCCAGGGCCGAGATTCCCTGTGTTCTGGAGTCTAAATTCCCCTCAATCCTCCCTCTGCATCCTCCCTTGACTCCCAGTACAGCTGACCCGAGTCTTCATTTTGGCAACCAAATAAGGAGAGGCGAGGGTGGGCCTTCTTTCCTGGGTCTGGAGTCCCCTCAGTATCCCTCAGGCCTGTGTGGCCTCCCAGCAGAACCAGGCCCCTCCCTCCGCTCCCCGAAGCCATGCTCCCGATTCCAGGCCTCATTAGACCCACTCGCGTAAGTCAGGAACCGTGGGCCTGGCCACCCTGCACGGGGCCTCCCAGACTAATGCCAGAGGCAGGCATCTGTGGGGTTCCCCTTGCTCTGATCTTGGAATCTGGGACCCCCTCCTTCGACTCTCTGCATACTCACCTGGGTGCTGGGCAGAGCCTGAGTCGCTACCCTCAGACCTCGACCTCACTTCTCTCCAAGCGTGGAGGCGGAAGTCAGTGGACGTCACATCCTCCCTCACGCCTGGGGCTTCCTAGGGCTAACAGCAGGGGCAGAGACGGACTCTATGGGCCTCTCTATACCATTCTGGTGGGTCCCCTCAGTTGTCCCTCAGGGTCCTGACTCTGACACCTGGTGGGGCCTGAGACCTTCACCATGTACTTGAGTCCATCCTGATTACACCAAGCTCTGACTCCCAGAGTCCATTTGGACGTAAGGAGGAGGGGCCCAGCCTGACAAGTCTGCCCCCAGGTGGTCCTGGGGTGACAGCAGGGACAGAGTTCCATTTTCGGGATTCTACTATCTGGGGTCAGGGCCTCTTTAGCATCTCACCTGACTCGTAACAGAACCTGGGTGTCTCCTCTCAACCGTTCTGAAGTCCGAACCTCACACCAAACTCGTAGCTTCCCCCGTCCCGACCCCTAGGCGGAAGTGGGTGGACGTCATATCCGTGATTATCAGGGGCTTCCCAGGCCTCATGCCAGGGGTGGAAAGGGATTCTGTTGAGGTGGGGCCGGGAGGGGGATGGTTGGAACGGGGAGTGGGGCCGGGAGGGGGAGGGGGAGGACGGTGGGGAGGGTCGTTGGGAGGGGGGTCTGTGGGAGGGGCTCGGTGGGAGGGGGAGGAGTTCGGTGGGAGAGGGAGGTGTGTGTAAAGGATGTGTCTGTGTGAGGGGGTCAGTTATCCCTCAGTGTCCCTATCTTTACGCTCGGGAGAGTGTCTGCTCCCCTTAGACCCACGCTCTGACTCCGGGATTCCTCTTTGGGGGGAGGGATGTGGTCAGGCTGACGAAGTTCCCAGAGTCTTCCAGGGCTAATAGCAGGGCTGAGCTGGAATCTGTGGCGTGTGTGGACCCGCAGTCCTCACTCATGAGAGTCCTCATCTTGGCTCCTGGCTTTTCGATTACGTGATCTGCGGGAGATGTCCCCTCCCTGCCACCGTTGAACCCAGCTGCAACTCGTGGTGAGAATGACTGCGAGTCCCAGGCTAGCTGTTCCATGGGGGCTGCAGCGCCCATGGTTGTAGTGACCTGTGAGGTGACGCACACCTTCCCGTGGGGCCTCTTCACTTTTCAGAGGTAGAGTTTGAAATTTTTTCCTTATAAAATATTTATTCTCAACATAAAAAAATATGTTTTACATAAGTTCTAATCATGTATATATGGAACTATACTGTGGCAATCAACTCAATTTCCCTACTGTCCTGATATCACCCCAGGGCTACTGGCATCCTGGTTTTTAGTGTTGCCTCAGGTTGAGCAATTTGAAGCGGGGCCAGGAGTTCAGACATTTCTTCCACCCATCCTGTCATCTGTCAACTATACAGGCTACTACCCTGCCAACCCCTTCAGCACAGTCTCCTCTGGGGATTTCTAGTGTGTTTTGGTTTAGATGTTGTTGCTGTTTTTTATTTCTTTCTTCCTTCCATAGTTTTCCAGGGTTGATTTTTGGAGCAAAAGGAAACGACCCACACTTGACTGTTCTATTGGCAGTTCCAGGTAAGTCACAAAAATGTAAATAATTTAAGGAGAAGTCACACTTTTATAACTGTCTGTTCCCCATCAATGAATATGTTGTGCTATTCTATTTATTTCAAACTTCTTTTACTTAAATCTATTATTAGTATACTTTTATGGTTGCTCTATAAAGATCTTATAAATTTTGGGAACAGCCCCCTCAGATCTCCTCCTACTCTGGAAGCTTTTCTGTCCTCTGAATAAATTCTACTTTCTTTCTTTCTTTTTTTTTTGAGTTTAAGTCTCACTCGGTCGCCCAGACTGGAGTGCAGTGGCCGCTCCCGGCCACCACAGCCTCGACCTGCTGGACTCCGGCG